TTTAATTATTATTTAATTTTAGTACTTTTATTATGTAATTTTTCAAAATCTCTTCATTAAACTCTCCTGCAATAAACAATATAATAATTCCTAATAAATTTTAATGAAATTTATAATAAAAATAAAATAAGCATCCTAGAAAAAGTAAATGCCACAAAATTGGCAATATCCCTACTCATTTTTGAGTTGTTTATATTATTTTTATCAAGAAACATTGTATTCTTTTTTCGCGCACGAAAAAATCCAAGAATGCATTGTTTTGGGAAAATCAAAGAGTAAGACTTTTGCTCACATTTTGCCTTTCAAATTATTACAATTTTTTTCGTAAGTCTCAAAAATGGTCGCAACTTTAAAAAGACTTCACTGACCTACAGAAATCTTTACAGGGGTTTAGTATTAATTACGTATAAATTATACGAAATTACACAGTTTTGGCCTCCGTAAATAAATTCGAACCGTACGCATCAAATTAAACTTTTAAGGAGTATTTGTTTATTTCATCTTTTTTTATGCACTTTCTTCCCCAAATTGAAACATGAAAAATTGCGAAAAAATTGCCTAATCCAATCCATTATTATTTTCTTATCCCACATGAAAAAATTTCTTCATAAATCGTATAATACATGATTATTATACTCCATATAATATTATTTGAAGTGAGTGAAGGCAGAAAAATGTAATTAAAAATATTAAATATTAAATTATTTATATTATTTTTTATTCGTACTTCATTGAACTTCACAGTGACATGAACCAGTTACTCCGTACGTTTCTGATCATCCTAGTGCACTTGAGATTCGGTGTTTCGTCATCTTCAGTGGTTTTCTGTATTATTTTACTTAGTCCTCAACAATTACAATAATGAACAGACTTTTATAACACGAAAGGTTTCAATAATCAATTCATCAACTAAGTGATTAATTTTACTACAAACATTTTACACATTAATTCAAACTCAGTCGCTCTGCAGCTGTGGCTGCCCTGAACGTATTTTACGTTATGGGAATAAGTTGGTGGACGAACCCCGGTTTCTGGTTTCAAAAAATTTAAGCCTACAACCTACAGAAAGCATGTAACAGACATTGGATAAAGGCGCATTGAATGGTATTTTGTGGAGACCATATAAAAGCAATGGGGTTGTGGATATGACAGCCGAATCTGAAGATCATACTTGAAGTATTTGCAGAAATTTTTCGTCAATAGGAAAATTCAAAAGCTTTAAACTGTTTGTAAGTTGAACTATCTTTAACTATTTCTATAATTTTCAGTATGTTCTGTACCAACCAAAGCGAAAAAAGGTGGACACCTCTTCCATCTAATACAAAGCCAATGATCCATTTTTGCATAACATCATCCTTCAAAATTTCGATAATTTTAAACTGTCAGGTTTTAATTTGGCAATGTGCAGAATGGAGTGCTCACCCAAAACAGGTATCAGTTGGTGGTCAGTGAAGAGTGTTCGTTACAACTCATTGGTAGCAGTCGATAGCACTGATGTCAACGATTACTTGTTTTGTACCAAAAATTAAGCCATTAGGATCCAGCATTGATAAATCAAAATGGCCCTTTTCTCCTGCATAATAATGAAATACCTGGTATCTCAAAACCGATATAACCGAAACAGAAAACTTTGATTTGAAGTCGGATGTAGGATGTATGAACATTCGATGTACTTATTTGTTAAAACATTGTTAATACGAACGAGTTAATGTGAAAATAAAAAAATTAGGCTGTTATCTGCCTCTTAATCGTGCTATGGTTATAAATACAGGTTTAAAAAATCAACGAGCCCTTTTTATGAGCTGCTTTGAATGAGGACACAAAAAATGGCTAAGGGATTGTTTCGTTGAAGATTAGACTTTCTCCAGTAAGCCGTTGCTGTGGCAACTCACACTCTTAGCAGATATTGGATTATCCCAAGTTTTTTAAAGGGTGTCCCGGGCGTGACTGCCGAGCGGAAAAAACTGCAAAGTGGTTTGTTTTCCCTCCGAGGTCATACGGACAGAGATGTTAGACGAAAACGGAAGAGATCGTCCGTCTGCGCGGTTCGAGCTCAACTCGTTAAGATCGGGACAATTTCGAAGCGGAATGTCGGATCCACGTCTCAATCCTCTCGTCCGATTTTCTTCTTTTATTTCTCTCCCTGTGGATCCTGCTATCCTTTTCTTCTGCCTGCCAACGAACGCATCTCGCTATTGTCCAGCCGATTCGCTACGCTGGAGGAGACGCTCCTCGATCCCCGCTCATGCGGAAATTCCATCCTCACGGTAAAAACGTACAAAAATAAAAACACAGCTTTATCTTACAGATACTACTCTGACAATTTTATATCCATCGATACATTTTAAAATCAAATAAATTTAATATTTTCCATTTTTAATAGTGACTTTATGACCGCTCAACATAGGAAAAAAAGAACTCTTACACCGACAGTTTTTTGATTTAGTAAAATGTACTGTAAAATTAATTACAATTATAAAACTGATTAATGTTTTAAGAATAGAAAATTTGTTTAATGAGAACTCGCTCAATGGGGGCATCCTAAAATAGGTATCTCCTGGGTGATGAACCATTAGATTAGCCATGATTTTTCAAAAAATTACCAAGTTAAAAAACATCTTTTTCGTACGGTGATTATAAGATTTTTAATTTGAATAGTTAATGGCCAAAGCATAGGTCCATTATTTTCCCAAAGTTTCTGCTGTCACAGTAATGTGTTGGCTTGAAATATGCCATCGTTTATCTGCGTATAAGGACTGTCCTATTCTCCCCTAGTGCCATTAACACTTCCCTTATCTGCTATCATGCCGAGAATATTGCTGTTCATTCAATGCATTCCGAGCGACTTACTAGGATCGTTTTATTTATTAACATAGAAGCAAAATCTAACGCATTCATTTTTCCATAACACAAAATATCTGTTGTAAGTATAAATTGATTGTTTGAATGGGTTTAAAACAAACTGTCCTATTTATCCAATGATTGTCCCTTCTATACCAGCTGTTTTTGTGATCTGACGGGATTCCACGGTTCAACTTATAGACCTCGCAAAAATTTTAATTTACTATATATTAATCCATTTATGCTTAGTGGTCTAATTGGTCATATTAATTATTGCAATTAATTATTCTTTTTATGTAAGGTCTTGATTGAGATGAAAAGTTAGTGTCACGAGCGGGATTCGAACCCACGACCTTTTGCTCAATACGCCGCTGCTCTAACCACTTTTGACTTCGATCCACTCGGACACCAACTCCCCATTCTCAACCTACAACCTTTCGAATTTTCCCTCCAGTTTGCCATTTTTCAAATGTCGTCGCTCTAACCACTTGAGCTATCGTGACAACACATTTTAATTTAGATTCATTCAGCCGAAAACAGAGAAATAGAAGATGAAAACGTTCTCTTTCTCTGAAATGAATCTTTCCTCCCGAAACGTGCCTATTCGTATAAATGGCAATATTTGCATAAATATATCCTAAATCGGTCGTTTTAACGTTTATTTTCGACCTATCTTGTAAGGCTATAAGTATTCTACGTGATTCTCTTTAACAGTACATGAATCTAATCAATATTTTTAAGCATTAAACCTTTCAGACAATTTATTTGGTTCACAATCTCCCAGCCATTCATCGTTTTATGTCAGTTTTTAATTAGTTAATTAATGATACAAGAAGTAATAATTTAGTATATCACAATCAAAAAACAGTTCTTGTTATAGCATTCATTAAAAAAAAAACTGTCTGCTAAAAGGTAATCACCATATCATACGGCTTAATGGGTTAGTGGAAAGCTTCCGCAGAACTCTAAAAGCGTCGTTAAGGCAGTTCTGAACTACTCACCTCACTGGTCCCTGACATTGCCAGCCATTCTATTCGGATTGCGAACATTACTTAAAGAAGACCTCTGTATGGTTAAAATTGAGACAAGCTCTCTGCCATACTCCAGTGTACTCTTTGCAAGCCAACTTGGTCTGATGATGGAGAATTAAGTATGGGAATCAAACACTCTCTCAAAACTCTCGTAGTTCCCAAAAATAGAACCTGAAACTCTGAAATAATGGGACATATGGCCAAAAATGAAAGAGAATACTCGCCGAGGTAACCTAACCTCAATAATAACCTCAACCGGTGAATAACACTCAATAGAAACATCGTTCAGATTGGAATAATTAAGGCAGATAAGTTCGCAGTTAAGTTTGAAGTACCAACATAAAATCTTAGGGGACAACTTTAGATTATTATTGTTAAGTCAAAGCTTTTGAATGAACGAGTTTGTTATAGAGCGCAGAAATTCATTGAATCTTAGGGCTAGATGTAGATGTATTAGTCGGGTGTAATATACTGCGCCCGTTAAGAGTTTCTGCCTAAAGCACACCGGTGAGTCCTATTTCAACAAGGACCTTGATTAGTAGGCCCGTTTTCAGTGGTTGAATCTCTTCCAAGGTCACATCATCACCACTTCCTCCTACGGGCAAGAGTAGCTCCGCAGGTTGTTAGTAGATGTGTTGGTGTCTCCTCTCTTTGCACAATCTGTATGTGCCGTCTTGGATTATTCCAATATTCTTTAAGTGTCCATTTAGCTTGCAGTGTCCTGTTAAGAATCCTATTAGGATTCGCAGTTTAGTCCTGCTTCCTTTGGCACATTCTGTAACCTCTTTCATTCCGAAATTTGTTAGGGGATTCTTGAACAGTCTGTGTTCAATGAGTGAATTTCGTTGTTCCTTCATTTCCTTTTTGTCCTTCTGTTTGAGGTACTCATTAATAGTGTGGGTTCCTGTGCCACAAAAGGGTTCGGGTTCTATCAGCGGTGTAGCAGCCCCTTTTCTTGCAAGGGTGATCTTAGGACTGATTCAGTACAACTTTCAAAAACCCTAGAACGAAAATGAACGATTCAAAAGATGAGAACTTACAAGCCTTATTATTTTTTATAATTGTTGTTCATGGTAATTTAAACTACTCAATTAAATCCTTAATTACAATTTATTTATTTGTTTTCAGGTCTGACCTTCTCATAGTGAGTAACGTCACACAGAGCAAGAGCCTATGCAATATAAAGATGGTAAGTAATAAGTTTTTTTACATTTTAAAATCTTTTGTCCATGTTATCATTAAGAGAAACGTATAATTTCGCGTGGAAAATGTAATTTTCTACAAATAGATGTGAAGAAGTACGCTCAAGCCAAAGATGTGCATAGTTTCTTCGTCGGATAACTTTTCCAAAACCACTTTACAATGACGTGCCTTGAGAGGCGAAAAGATGACGGAAAAGGGGGAAGGGTAAAGTTCTAAGCCTGACGAAAAAGTCCCTCAGCCCAATCCTTACAATCCGGCCTCTCTAATGGGACGGGTAATCCCAAAAGAAAATGGAAAATCCCCTAGAAAAATAACACAAGCTTCTTACGTTCGTGCTGCCACTATTTGACAATACATAGATTTAACTATATTGTTGTCTGGATATGTTAAAAATCTTTTTTTTTTAAATATAAATACTTGGTACTTTCTTAACAAAGTAAACCACCGGACCCAAATATTTTGATTTGCCGATCCTAGCTATTTTGTCGGTGTTTTGTTGTACTTCCGTCTGCTTTTATACGTGACCAACCGTAGGCTTTAGTATATTGTAGTATGTAAAAACCGAGCTATATCAGGATATATACTTAACTTAACTTTATTTATTTTATAAATTTTAATTATTTATGTGCCTACCAATTCTATGAACTGGTTGCTTATTGATCAAAAATACCTAAGCAATTTCATTCTTCCTATAAATATAAAAAAGGCAAGAATTTTTTTTTTTTTGACCTTGTGCAACCACACATCAGCCATGCCGTCAATCCGGGATGTTAAGCGGAGGAAACCGACGAGAAGAAGCCGCTGCGCCCCGGGCAGCGACAGACCACGACCACGCAGCGGTATGAGCTGCCATGCTTTTTTTTTTCTTCTTTTTTTTTAAGGCAAGAATTTAAAAATGTAAATAGTTCTCCATCATTATACTTGAATAGGCGTGTGTGAATGTGGCTAGTTTTCAAAACTACATGCTTTGGAGGCGGGACTTACAATTCCGAGGATACATATAAAATGTAGGGTAAGATTAAGAAGTTAATTAAGTTAAGAAAAATATCGGTGCTTTGTATAACGTATGACCGTGAATCCGTCCAGTTTCGCTGATTTTTTCACAAAGCTCGTTTGATATTCGTCCCCTTTTTCGAAGGATATCTGAAACTTCAGTCACAATAACTTCATTTGGGGTGGCGAAGGACAGAATTCCCCTTGAAGAAATAACGTTTCCCCTCAATCCCAAAAAAAGGTTGCATAATTTAAGAACGGATGGTGAAAATCGACAGACCATAACTATCGTGTTCCCTCCCATGGAGCTACAAGCTTTAAAAAATGTCCGAAGGGTTTCTGCGGGTTTGGCGAATAGGGGGAAAACCTGGAAGCAAATATCTATGGAGTTAGTATAGTTTTATGATATAATATGTATATTAAATAGATCAATTCTGAAAATTTAAACTATAACAAAAACCACCATAACTAATTAAACGTAAACTGAAGTGGTTCCTCTTCTCCCATTGTGCCGGGATCAACCATATACCCAAAATACCAACAACGCTTTTAAGTGAGAATGTAAAGAAAAATGTAAAAGAAGTACTATTGGATTATTTTTACGAACGAACATGTGTTGAAGTTGAACATTTCCGTGCATTATTATGTCATATTTTGTTATAATTGTCAACATTCTGAGGTGGGTTTGTTTTATAGCTTCACCCCGCTTATATTCTAACCAGCCAACATTCATTTACCCGCAGACCTTCTGGGGAAATCGCAAAACAAAAATATGTTTAACTCTTCAGACAGAAAATTATGGGAAATGGCAAAAATACAGCATTAATTTAGTTCAACCATGATTATGATGAGTAAGAGAAGGAAGAGCCGAAACGGGGTTATTCTGCGCTTAATTAAAGAACGCTTAATTCCCGGACCGCTTCAGCCTAGTGGCTTGTACTTTCACTAGCTCTCTTAAGTTCGGATCAGTCGACTTGGATCTTTTTTTAAGAAGTAAAATGACTGCTATATCTTATTCCCGAGCCATCTAGGTACCCTACCGCAGGCAATGTCTCCATGCAGTGGTTGCTTCGCATCCGAATAAAACACGGTAGACAGTTTCTTCCTCCCATTGCAAGAAAGCACAAATGAACCTTGTCTTTGCATATACCCATGTTGTGTAGTTTTTCCCCGATGCCAGTGATTGGTGGTCCTATCACTACACTTATTTTTACCCTGCTTAGCTATAGCAATGTGTGCTAGTTTTGGCGAGTGTTGTTTAAAATGCGGGTCCGGCACCTCTAAAGTTTGGGCATTTCTCCTTTTACCTTGAGTGGACCCATTCTGAGATAGAGGATTTTATGGTTGATGTATAATAGGTTACGGATCGATGACTGGTGGCATATTCTCCCCTGGTCAGTTTGTCTTGTCCTATATCCAAAAATTTCTTTGCGCCTTGGCATTATAGTATAATATCAATAATAATAACTATTTTACCCTTGTTCAGATACTACGACATGGCAAAGGGGCAACGAGAAGCCCGATAAATGTGTAAAGACAAGTCCACTAAGGACATCTAAGGTCCTTGAATCCTTTGCGGCCATATTGCCAAAAACGTAGCAATGGTTTAAGAATATATTCTCGGTTCAATTCTATTCCACGACGTGCTTCATCATGGGACCAACGCAAAAATTATAAGCAGGACTACTAAACCAAGGAACAATAGTAAGACTGCTGACTGGTCATTGCACACTTTTGAGGCGAATCTATAGACTCAGTAGAAACAAGCCTGGGCAGACATTGCCGAAAAGAAGAAAACAATGGACGGTCTTTCAGTCTAAGGTTCCTACTCCTAGGGGTATAAACGAATATAAACGAAGAGCTAAACAGAATAATAGAGATTGCACAATATCGCATATATTGCTCAATATATTGGCCCCGCTGCATAAGGGCTTTTGTACCGTAAGGTTAAGCGGCCCATAGACGGTCAATATTATTGTACAATATAGATTGCACAATAATTTAACGGTTGCCCCTTAACGTTCAATAATATTGTACAAAATTTTGTTTGTGCAATGAACTGTACCACTTGTTGATACTTCACAAACTGACTGATATTGCGCAATAATGCCAACAGACGATGAGATTTTGAGATTTTCCAGGTTGTACAATATATTTTCAACTTTTCGTCAATCACGCAATGTGTTGTACAAACTTTCAATATCGTCTACACACGATCAATTAAATTCCACAACCCAAAATATTGTGCAATAATATTGATCGTCTATGGGCCGCTTAAGGTTATTATGTTTTCCCAGGTTTTAGATCTGTTGGATGCATTAATTCAATATTTGTGATATTTTGTCGCTATAATGCTTTTAGGACTGCTTTTCCGCACAAACAAATGTTTCAATGCTCATGTGTTGCGTTTGCACAGAATATACTTGTTATTGTTGTAAGCCCGAAATCTTTAGTCCCCATACTAATTATTGTGTGTATTTTCCTAGCTTGTCCTTATTTATGTTTCAATTCGAACTAGGTTTAGTAGTGTTTCTGAGACACGTGATTGTGTTGTTTTCATCGCCCCTGTGATGCGTAGATTAGCCAATCTTTGCAGGCCGCCTAATTTTTTGATAATTGTTTTTTGTTGAGCTTTAATCCACCGGATTAGTTAGCCATAAGATTAAAATTGCAATACCTACTATAAATAATTTTACAAGTACAAAATTTTCCTTTTTACATTTTGTCGATACCAATATTTCTAACGAATAACAAATAACATAAAAAGCTTCCAGGAGTGTTTTCGGTTTATAATATCAAACCCCAAGCAACCCTGGTTGAATACTCATTTGCCGGATTTAATTATTCAATTCAAACCGTCCCTACCTTATTGCTTACAATTCGGAGGGTTAATCTGGAAGTGCTGAAATCACTGTAAAATGTATTACAGCCAACTAACGTTGCTAAATGCAAACAATTCCGGGTTCGCTGGTTAAAATTGCAAACATTTTCAAAGATTTGGTCAATTTATGACTGGCAAAACATCGACAAAACGTTTTACCAGATAGGATAAACTTTATTTAACATAAATATTTCATAAACCATTTTTTGATTAATTATAATCAAATTAAATATTTGGTATATTTATGTTACAATATTTAATTTTCTAATAATAAAATTTGCTTAAATTTGCTTAAACTGACATTAAATATATCTATATTTTCGAACGAATTTAACAAATTTGTTGTTCTTGGTATACAATTGAATTTGGCATAATTAGTTCTATGGCAATCGATGGAGAATGTTATTTGACTTTTGGAATGGTAAGATGGAACATGAAAGTTAATTCGATTAAGCAGTAATGGGCAATCAGTTAAGGCAATTTATACAGTAATATACAATCAATGAAATTCCTTCTGTACAGAACAGTCGTCAATTTCAGATCCGTCATTAACGATGAGTATGCATTATCTATAGTGTATCTCTGTATTCTCCAATTGTTCTGTAATATATCAGGCATAAAAATCATTTTTGAACCTTTTCTATGCAACTGATATGGATGGATTGAAAGGGAGCCCAAAATGGTGAATCCAATATTGTAGTCTTACAGTGGAAGTGTATAAAATTTTAAGTGTATCTGGATCATGGAATGTTTGTTATGACGCGTAATAAATCCCAAAGTTTTATTGGCTTTAGCAATAGTTTTGTTAATGTGTGTGTGAAAGTTTGTCTGTCTGTCAATAATGATGCCAAGATTTTTAACAATTCCATATCTAATGAGAAGCGAGTCTGGTTAGCGAGGGTAGTTAAACTTGATAGAATATTTTGTTTTATCTTACAATTAATTAAGGTTTTCAGTTGAGATAAAAAAGTCAATGGCACGAGCGGGATTCGAACCCGAAAGGAGGGAAAATTCAAAAAGGTTGGTTGAGATGGGAGGTTGGTGTCCGAGTGGATCGAGGTCACGATAGCTCAAGTGGGAGAGCAGTGGCGTATCAAGCCGACGATCGTGGG